CTATGATTTTACTTATAATCTATTATTAAAAAGAATATTAAACCTTTTTACATTACTGACTAATAGTCAGACTAAGACTTACTAAGACTAATGTTAGTCAGTCTTAGTCAAGGCTGTGACTGATTAATGCCAAGATTAGTCATGACTACATTAGTCTTAGTCATTTATAGCCACACCATTGACTAAGACTGCCTGATTAATTTAACAACCCTGATTACAGGCCTGTATACCGCTACAAAGTAACACATTTAATAATAGTATTATTAGTACTTCACTATATAGTATTAACTTACTAATTATAACATATCTATGTATGTTTCTATAAAATCTTTTATTTTTTATTTTTTATGTCTTTATTATATTTTAATATTTTAATATTTTTTCTAGTTTGTTAATTTAATTTCTACTAAAATTAAAATTAGCCTAATTAATTTCTACGAAAACTAAAATTAGCTTGGTTTAAAACTAAAAAAATAGAAATTAATTCCGAACCCTGGGTAAAATAATAAGTGTTTTAAGAAGTCCAGAGTAAAATACTTATACGCACGTATAAGGCTTCATGATTTCCTACTTGGTTAACTAGTCGTACTACTATTACTGCTTAATTCGGTACTTTTAAATATAGTTCATAAAGACTCATAACCTTTTATTATCATCTAGTTATTAAAGACCTATGAAATGTATTTCAAGATATGATATAGTACCTTTAAAACTATTAAGATTGGTTCCGTGGTTTTAACGTTTTTTAAACTGTCAGTGAAAGTTTATAAAGTTAATACAAGTTTAAAATTCTGTTTGAAGAGTAAGTATAACTTAATCCTGAACTGCCTTAGCCTCTAACTTCTGTATCTTTACTTTTTAAGGTAGGATCTTAAACCCTAAGTAATAAACTTTTTTTACCCGAAAAAAGCGGCTTTTCATTGGGTTTACTGCCTTTTCCAAAGGATAAGGATTTAATATGAATGTCTTTTATATTTCTCTTTACCTTTAAGGTAAATAAATGTAAACTTATCCATAAAAGCGTGGAAGACGTAGTTAATTATAATTTAATACAATATCAAGGCGTTAGTAAGTTTAAAATGCATTATTACCCTATATTTATAATATCTGTAACGTGTGTTAGAAGGTAATTTAATACTTATCTTTCGCCTTAATTTAGATATATCCGAACGCGTTCAAGGAGCTAAAGACTGAAAATCAATGAACTTTGGCGACCTTTTATGCTGACCTGCTAATTAACAGTAACATGGATTAGTTTTTAAAACTATGTTTATTTGACGACTGGTAATCAACTACTATACGTATGATCGGGCACCTTATTAAGGATTGAAATTCTTAAATGAAACCTAGTATCAGGTTAGGATAATACGCTGGTAACGACTTTAGTTAAGCCCTGAGATTTAACCTGATCTTATAGTCGTAATGTCTGTAGTCGGGTAAATCTAATAGCTTTTGTTGAAACACTAAGTATTTCCTATACTTGTTTAAAACCTTTAATAAGCTATTATTATACGATTTAACGTCTTATATTTAAATCACCTTTATTAATAAGTGGTAATACACTTTTACCTTATAAGTGGTAATACACTTTTACCTTATAATCGTTATTTGCATTATAGCTTAAATCGTACCGATCTTTCGTTTTATAAAACCGTTCACACACCGTGGTAAGTTTACCAATCTTAGCGTTTTCCGGACCTTCATTATTAAGTACGTCGTCTAATTATCCTTATAACTAACATTTTGATTAATTATGAAGCCATATATCCTTATTTATAACTTACCCAAGATAATATTATAACTGTAAATTAATAAAACGTTACAAATTATTTCCTAAATACAGTTATTTATTGTTATTAAAAGTAGCGTCTTATAGGTCAGTATTCCGTTATTATGGGCATAAAGTTCTAGATTTTTAAAGCGAATTAGCGTTAGCTTTACCCGTTCTTGATAAGGAAGCTTTTTCTTAATAAATAACTTTAGGTTAATAAACAATATTAGCAGTATTACTGCTATCAATAATTACTCGTACGCGAAACGGTTTTCTTCAACCATCCGCCACATTAATGCAAATAGAATAATAAAATTTTCTTCCTTAAGATAAGTTATTATAATAATTTTATCACTAAAGTCTTTCCTTACGTAAACGATGAATACCTTTTCTTCGTCTTGTAGCTTTTACTAACTAGTGAATTACGGATCTTTAGCCCGTGGAAAAGCCTATCTCCGTTTCTCAGGTAAATCCGTAGGTAGTTTCCGTAAAAGGTATAAACATTTAAGTTAACACCCCTAACGTCTCGCACCAGGTTTCAATTAACCTTAAAAATCTTAATCTTATAAAGCGTAAGGAATTCGCAACAGTAAAACACTTGAAACCGTTAGTTACTGTAACACATTTTATACATCCCCTTATACCAGTTATCTTACCAGTCATTAACATTTGTTTCCATATGCAAAAAATAATTGAAATCTGGGCAGAAGTAAAACGTTTCATACGATAAATCGTCCTTTATAAAATTACTAAAATTTTTGTTAGTAATAAAGATGCTGTTATTCCTTATAGTAACGTAGTACTACTTTAACCCCGGGTAATAATATATTATCACCATTAATTTTCCGTTATTTACTATCAAATAGTATTTCAAGTAAAGTTTTAATTTAAAGTGGTAAAGAAATTTACCTACGTCGTAAATACAGTCTATCGAGGAAGATTTCGACGTCGAAAATATCCCGGATTTGTAAGTTTATAATAAAAGGCTTCTTTCCCTTATTAAATGATTATACTGCAGCTTTGAGTTAAATTCTTAAAAGTTAATTGATAATTTTAATTACTTAAGGCTGCTTAAATGTTTTATTACGAGAATTTATGCTATTTTTTATAATAATTATTAAACGATATTACCCTAGGAAAAGATTTATTCGTTATTAGTAAAAAAAGAAGTCAAAAGTACCCTAAAACTTGCCTTCGGAAAAGTTACTGGCGTTTAATAATACAATGTTTTTATTAAAAAGGAATCTTAGTTAAGTATTATTCAAAAGACCCTTAATAACCTAAGGTTTAAAAGGATTCGGAAGATAACGTTCTTTTTCCTACAGAATATTAATCTTATAGCTAAATAACCAATCAACCCTTTTACCAGCAATTTTTACTAGTCCATTTGACCGTTACAGATTAGCTAGGGTATTTTAAAACTAGGAGAGAACGTCGTACTCCTTTACGTTAAAGCGCTTTTACTCGCTTAAAACATTTGAAAGTATTAACAAGTTATTCTTATAAATATCGTAAAATGAATACAAGTACCTTTTAATAACTAGATACTTACTACAGGAGATACTCTTACTTATTACCTTACACTTTAACCTAAGGCGCTTATAATAGAAATAACAAACGGGTATAATAGCGTTAAGGGCCTTGATTAATAGTATAGTATTGTATTAGAGATCGGAGGAGGAAGTCTTTATCCGTTTTTACGTTTTCCTTATCGCATTAACAGGTATAGTCGCGATTATCAAAGGAGGGAAATTACATAAGCTGTCTTTACAGACAAAGAAGATGAAAGAGGGGGATCGTGTGATAACCTACAGGCCACCCTTGTCGGCCGGGTTAGACTGACGTATCCTTATAAGTGCCACTGTATACTAAGCACCATACGCCAGGGCTGGGATTACTTTCTTACTTTTTTACTTTTACTTTAATTTTCTTACTTTACTTTACTTTTAGTATAATGAAAAAGTAAAGTAAAGTAACAAAGTAAAAAAAAAGTAAAAAAAGGCAAGGTGGTAATATATGTGTTGCTTTTGTTACGACCTCGGCCTGTCGACAGACGGTCGGCAGGGTCGCTAGATAGGTTGGGTGGGGTAGAGAGCAGTAGTACAGAGGCAAGTCCTTACAGACAGGGTTCACTGGTTAAAGGCAGTCGTATGTCACTATAGTACAGAGCAACACTCCAAGTGTTGATGCAGTAGGACATAATTGAAGTTGGTTTAATTGATAAGCGAATACTTATGTGAGGAACAGAAGGTTCCTCACTCCATTGTAAGTATAATGATAGTTATTTATACTAGGTGGTAATAATGTAACTTATACCTTGATTATTCTGATCACTGCCGTTAGCGTTAAACAGGTTAAGCGGTGCTTAACATAATCACTTCTTCTAACGTTGATCAGAGTGATTACACAGTACGTCTCGCACACCCTACTATGTTACATACGGTGGCGTCTGCGGGGACACGTCGGTCCGAGCCGGCCTACAAGGGTGGCCCGCAGGTCGTCACACGATTCCCCCTCTTTAATGTTCTTTTTCCATAAAGGACTTAGTGGTAAATTTCCTCCTATAATAATCTTCGTAATTATACTTACTGATGTAATTAGGAAATACTTAGGAAAAACTCGAAAACTTTATCCCCTTTTTTCTTCTAATCGTCGCGTCAAAAGCGCCGAATTTATTCGCATTTTCGGTATCGCCATACCTGTAAAGTGTTCGCGCTACGATTAGTTAGGCCTGGAGTGTAAAGTGGCTAATAAAAGCCAATCTTATAAAAGTTATATCGGTATAAGTGGCTAGGTGTATTCCAGTTATAACGTTTACAGTAATGACATTTTAGTACTTCGGGAGGTTTTAAAAGAGAAGAAGCGTCTGGACGACAAGGAGAGGGATATTTTAATGAAGTTACTTCGTCTAAAAGATTAGTAAAGGGCCCTTGCTTATCGCGCGGACGAGTTATTTGGTTATAAACTGGCGATCCTTTATAAGGAGGAATAGTAACAGGCCCTAACTGTTCCGGAATCCGGTTTTACTAAGACCTTAGACTGGGGTGTGTTTTTAAATGGTAATATAACCACGGGGTTACTGTAACTAGTGGTAACCACTTTTTAGGGTAGGTTGTCGTTTTTAGGGTTTGGTTAGGTGTTAACGATTATTTAGATTTATTCTAGGGAAGGTAAATTAGTTACCGGGGTTAAGGGTTATAATAGTAAAGGTAAGTTTTAATAATAAAATGGTCCATTAGCGTAGTAGCTAGCGCGCTCGTTTTAAGTAGCCTCTACAACTCGTCAAACCGGTCGGTAGGGGCCTATTTTTAAGTTAGTTTATCTTAATAAGAGGCCGTGGGTTTGAATCCCACACGGGCCATTCGATTCTTTCTCTTTCTCCTTAGGGGAATAGGAGAGAGACTTTGTTTTTACATGGCTAATAGTGCCATTATAGTGCCCTTTACACCGTGGTCCTCTGGGGTTAGCGTTTTTTTACTGGTTATAGTTAGTCTGGATTTTCGTGGTGGAATTTCTTAATTAGTTCTTGGTAAAAAAAAATTATTAACTGGCTCCTAAGAGTTCAACTCGGGGCTATAGTCTAGCCATTTGATAAAATAATAAAGTTTACCTTTATAATATTACAAATCTAAAACTTTTTCAATATCAAAGTCTTCTTTATCAGTATACACTTCGATCTTTTTCTCAATAGGGATATTCCTTAGTGCTGGCTTAAAAAGGGAGATATGGAAAACTTTAATCCATACCTTTATAAAGGTGGGTAAGTCGAGTTCGTAGTTAGATGTGGCGATCTTCCTTTTAATAAGGAACGGCCCAAGTTTCTTAAAATCAAGTTTCCGACTTAACCGTTAAGTGTGTAAATTTTATAAAAAAAGGTAAACCGGGTCCCCCTCTTAGAGAGTCGGTCCCTATCGTAGTATCCCTTCATTCGTTCTCGGGTAAATTCCAGTTCGGCTTTAAGGTAGTTATATAACTCCTAGAGTCTGTTAGTTTAAACGGCGGCTTAAGGCGTGTCCGTAGGTGGTCCTTGGCGGAGTTCTGGTTTTTGGCCGAAAAGTGCGAAAAATGGGGAGGTTTTAGTTGATTTAATAATAGTGGTGTTATAGGTTATCTGTACTGTTAGTAACAGCCTAAGCCAATTGTCCTATTTGAAGTTAACAAATGCTCGGAGGTACGCTTTAAGGGTTTGGTTTAAACGCTCCATTTATCTGTCGGTTTACAGGTAAAAGGCTGTTAATAGTTTGCTTTTCACACCTATTTATTATATCAATCCTTATTAAAATTTAGATATAAACAACTTATCTCGGTTAGAAACAATATCGTTAAGTTAAAGGTGTTAAGAGACGATATATTGCTTAAAAAGGTAAGTAAGTTATTTAGCCGTCGTTTGTGTTAAGTATAGTAAGACGTACACCTATTTCGTCATTCTATCAATAATTACCTAGATAAAGTTATAACTGATATTTATAGCTAGATCTTTTAAATCGGGGATTCCGGTGATAAAGTTTATCGAGATAGAGCTTTATAGTGTGCTAGGGGTTGGAAGAGGTTTAAAGAGTTTGTAAGGTTTATATCAACGTGTTTTCGTTTGGTTACAGATGTTATAATTATTAATAACCTTTTCCACCAGCTTTTTTATTTTTAGAAAGGCGTATTTTTATTCTACTTATAATAGTGTTTTTACCCTTCCTATATATCCTTTAATTTTTGCTTCGTGCACTTGTTGGATGAATTTCCTTCGTTTCTCCGGGTTGTAAATATAGGGTTTCCCTTTAAAGAAGAGAAGATCCTAGGTTTATAATCCTTTTTCTATCTTTTTTAGTGTTTTATTATACTTCTTACACTTGGGGTAAGGTTTTTTTAACTTGGTAGGAGATATTATAAATCCTTATAATTTCCTTCCTTTTTACCTAGAGGTCCTTTTATTTCCACTTTATATAATACTTTTAATAGGTGTTAGTGAATACTTAAGGGCTGTTATTAGGTGTTTAATCTGGGTATTAGTTTATAAAAACTTTGGTTTCTTCTGGTATTTAATTGTTGAATACCTGCGGTGTGTAAAGTAGGGTGTTATTTACGGCTTTTATAAAGAGTGTGACGGGTTCTGGGTCTTCCGCGTTTTCCTTGTGGTCTTCGCGTCGGCTTAACGCGTTAGCCTTGCTGTTCTTTAAGCCTTTAACGTGGTAAATCTTAAACAGAAGCCTAATAAAAAGTATTTGATAGGCTAAAGCACGCCTTTATAACAGCTCCTGTGCTTATATTACCCGATTTCTCGTAACTATTTAAAGTCGGTACGGATACCTTTAATTAATTACACCTATAAAGGAGAACTTAACTAGATAGGTAAAGATGGTGTCTGACACCTAATCGCCTTCCTCTTAAAGAGAATCTAAGGGCCAGCCCTTAGATACCCTATCCACGATAAAGAACTTACAGCGATTATCTGGTGTTTCTCAGAATAAGCCCCGTACCTTAGCGGCACTGAAAAACCTGTTAAGGTTCTCTCGGATTATAACAACCTACAGTATTTCTTAATAAAAAAACTTAGTTTTAGACAAACTAGATAAGCTAAGTTAATAACACCATTTTATTTTAGATAAATGGCTTCCCTTTGCCTATAAGGTTGTGTAAAGGATTAGTGATCTTACTATACCGATGTATGTACTGTTAATAGTAATTTATAAGTCTGACAAAGGCTTAGATTCCTGTTTATAAGGTGGGTGTAAGTTAGTTAAGGATCGCTTTAACTTTTGATTTTACATTGTTATTTTCCCAGGCGAGATCCTAAATCCTAAGAAGTCGAGCTTTTAAACGTGGAATTAACTTTTCTTACGGTTAATTATTAGGTTTACTTTTTTTTTAACGTGGAGAGGATTTAGTGGACGTGTTTGTGGTGTTCTTTATCTCTTTTTAAGTAGATTAGAATGTTATGAAGGTAAACGAACACAAATATATTGATAAAGGGGTGGAGGATGTGGTTAATTATATTTTAATAGGTTGCCGGGGTGTTGGTGAGTTTAAATAGTATCACTTGGTATTTATAGTGGCCTAGGTGTGTTTCAAAGGCGGTCTTCCACTTATCTTTAGTGGTAATTCGACTGTGCTTAAAGGTGTTAGGTGAGTTAAAGGAAGAGAATTAATTAATGCCGATGATTCTCTTACTAAACTTGTTAATTAGGGGTAAGGGGTATCGATTTTTTATAGTGTCTTTGTTTAGCGATTGGTAATCGATTATTATTTGCAGTTTACCGTCTTTTTTAAGTACGAATAAGACTAGGTAACCTGCTGGTGATTACAACTCTTAGATGAATCCTAAGGTGAGGTTTTTTTCGATGTATTTTTGGAGAGCTTCGGCTTAGCGGGGTTTGAGGTGATATATTGAGAAGGATTTTAACTAAGCCCCTGGCTTTAGCTTAATCTTATGGTTAAAAGGACTGTGGTTTAGTAAATGTAACAGTTTCTTTTTAAACATTAAATACTTTTAGTATTTTTTAGGGACTTTTAATAAGATGTCCAAGTCCTTTTATTACGGCTGGGCTTTTAGCCGTTTTACCGTCTTTATTGGTGGTTATTATTTCCCCACCTTTTAGTCGTTACTAGATTTATAACCTGAGTCGTACGGGTTATTTACTTTATAAAATCGTATCTATAGTGGGGATAATTTATTAACCTTAGTGTTCTTTAGATTATTTTTATCGGGTAATAAGTCCGGCTATCCTTACTGTTAGTAATTGGGACCTTTTTGTTAGTTGAAACTGAGTTAGCTAGCGTTTTAATTAATCGCAGGGTTATACTTCCTTAGCTATATTTTACTTAGGATAATATTATAGCTATAGACCGGTAAAACGATAAAAGTCACTTCTTGGTCGTGGTTATTTATTGTGATTAGGAGCGGTGCCTTATAAGTGAGTATTTTGTTATTATATACGTAAAGTTCTCTTTCTCTTAAGTGGATTACTATTAGTTAGGCTTGTTTTTGGTAGGGAAGTTGTTTTTTATTAACTAACTTTGGGTTAATAATATCAGTAGCGCTCCCGCTGTTGATTATTGCTTACGCGTGGAAAGGTTTTCCAAATCTATCTGTGGCGTCTATATAAACAGATTAATAATTCCTTTTTCTTTTAAGGTGTGTTATTATAATGGTTTTATTATCGGGAGGTCTTTTTTAGCCTAGCTGATAAGTGCCTTCTTTTTATCTTGTGACTTTTGCTAACTAGCGGTTTACTGGTTTCCGGCCCTGGTGGAGGGCCTGAATCCGTTTTTTAAGCGGATTTAGGGGTGAATGTTATGGATCGCTTAGATGTGATATAACAGGTGTTCAATATCCCTTTTTAAATCTTAGTGGACTTTATATGGCTTAATAGCACATATCTGTCTAAACTCGGAGATAAAGGGCCACGTATTAGTCCTGAAAACGTTATTATTATATATCCCTTTATAGAACTGGTGGTGTTAATTACAGGCCTTTAGTTTTTAGTAAATTAGGTAAGGCGGTTATGGGTATCGTGTTAGTGTTAAGTTCTTTTTACTTTTGTCTGTGTATTACTTAAGGACGTGGTTTAGTATTGTAAGATTTACTTCTTTTATAAGTACTTTGTAATACCCTAGGGGTATGTCCCTGTAGACGTAGGCTACGGCTCCTCCTTTCTGGATAGTGGGCTAGTGGTTATAGTAGTTTTTTAGTCCCCTATACAAAGGGAGATCGTAGAAATCGTGGACGCAGCTGATTTATAGGATTTGCTGGTGTTCTTCTTCTCTACAGAGGGCTTTTAGTGTAAATCAACGTATATTGAGGCTTAATATACTAAGTATCTTTCCTTTAATTATCCGCTTTAGTATTAAGATTTTATCCTAGTCTCCCCATTAGTAGATAAAGCTAGGGGGATTATAGATTCCTTTTTCTCTCTAATTAAATTCTAATTTATTAGCGAATTTCCTTATAATATTACAGAATTATCTCTTAATTACAAGGGTTATATATGTCTTAATTGCTAGATCCAGGTTTTCTTTAACCGTTTAAATTTCAGTTAACACCTTCGAAGCTGTAAAGTGTTTCTGGGCTAAGGGGTATATTATAAGTTCCTAAGTACCTGGCTATAAAGGTGTAGGATTAGCAAACGTTAGGGAACTAATTATAGTTCCTGGGAGAGACGCTCTTTAGTCCTCCTACTAGGGGCGTTTTTAACTAAAGCGGCCCAGTCTTAATATTATTAGCGTTTTTTTTCAGTGTTAGGTAAATATTTATATATTATGCTTTATATATAATATTATTATATAGTTAAAATCTAATTAGGGAATGTATCGTACACAGGGTTCCCTAACGCCTTTTATAATCCTTAAAGTCTTCCTTAGCTTAAAGGG